AGCAGCTTTTCAGTAGCTAAGATGAAGAAGTACTGTGATGAAGTTGTAAGATAACCTAAGTACTTAAATATGAGTAAAACTTGCATTTATTCCTCTCTTTTCAGCAATGATGTAGACATGGAAACAGATCACTACTCCAATGGGGTTGCTGAGACTTCATCCAATGGCTTCCTAAATGGTAGTTCTAAACATGATCACGAAATGGAAGAATGTGACACAGAAATGGGTCTGCAGTGATATTTCTTACATTTTTATTAAGTGATGGCAACAAGGTTATGTTTTTACTTGCAATGCTTCCCAACTTGAAAATTAGGGTTACTGGTTCAAGTCTTAATTTTTTGATTGTTTGTTTTGCTATTACTAGATGTAAATTTTAAAACCACTGATTTAGGTGATCCAATGTCACTGTGAGAATAGGGGAAATGGGTAACTCATGGCTACTGAAACTAGTATTTATTTCTAAAGAAATACCATTGAGAAGAAACACTCGCTTGTGTAGCACCCTGTGTTAGAGTTAGGAAATTGCTTCTCCCTCTTCCCATTCATGGCTCTCATGGCACACTTTTTGCTCCACAGTAAGCATAGAAATTCTAAATACTTTATATTGAAATACAAAGTGCTAATATTTAATGGTCAAGAGCTTTATTTGGGAAATGTGAAAAATGAAAAATTTTTTCCCATGATTTCCACCAAAAAAACCTCCAGTTCATACAGTTAAGAGATAAAAATTAACTTTTTTTTTTACTTAATTAGCTTTATACTCTGTCATGCCTGCTGATTTTGGTGACAAATGAGTGTTTAAATCCCCTCTGCTTGCCCTTTGTGCAGCTGCAGAATTGGTACTCAAACAATTGGTTTAAGCAGATGTCAGTTAATGTGTAGTTTAAATGAAATGTGAAACTGGAGACCTTCAGAATGCAGCAGCGTGTGCAGAGGTCTGTGAGCACTTCCCAGTTCTGGGGCATGTGCTGCTGATCCTGCAGCTTTGCTGGGAAATGCAGCAAGTGGAACAGTGAATGTCACTATGTCACAGCCCTGCAAGGAGGAATGCAAGTTGCCAGACTGTTTTCCCTGCATTATGCTCTGAAACTGGATAATAACAAGACCTTATTTCTGTGACAAAACCCAAAGCAGGTCCCCCCTCTCCTGCAGCCTTTTCCACAGAGACTTGCTGTGACAGACATGCAGCAGCTGCACAGGGCACAAAGTTGTGTTTTTTGTAGTGGAGTCGTCTCCTGCCTTTGGAAAGTCATGTCTTAGATTAGGCTGAGCGAGGGACAAACACCACTACTTGAAGACTTGCGGGTGCTTCCTCTCCCCCAGTTTGAGTCTGGTGGTTTTTCACTTTTTGAAATATTTATATATTCTCCTTAGTGCTGTGTATGTACGGTTAAGTAGGCAGGCGTTTTCTAGAGGTGATACACTTATATCTAAGGAAAAAAAAGTGGCCAGTTAAAAATCCTTTTTTGAAATAGTAGTCAGAATACATCACTAAATAGCAGTGTTAAAGTCAGAAAGAAGAGTGGATTTGTAACTGAAGAGTCTATCAAAATACTCTTTTAAAAACTTGATTCCATTGATGAAAAAAGACAAGGAATGGATAAATGGCTTTTTTTTTAATGCGGTGCTTTAGGTGTAAATTTTATAAAAGCAGATTTTTCAAAGGAGCCAAGTGTTAGTTTACTATTCATAAGCTGCATCAGTATCTTTTAAAATCGCTAGCATTGGGGAATATTGTAGGAAACAGTAAAGGAATCAGTTGTAGTGTCCTGCTTGATAGCAAAAGAAGCCTGAAATGCCCAAATAATTAAGATAATGTGTTCTGTGAGGAGTATGAACAGTCTGAATGCAGAATCCATCATGGCTGTTGAGGAAATTTGGCATTTTTTCACCCTCTGTTAGTTCCCAATTTGGTGCATGTTTAGAAATGCAATGCCAAAGAATTAAGAAAGTTAGAACTGTGTGGACTTCCATTGTTGTTTTTTAAACTCCCTTAAAAGTTTTGGGTAAAATCTGGTTTATCTTCTAGTTAGTTTAAAATTACCCCTCGCAAATGAACAGCACGTGTTGTAACAGCCTTTGCTGTTAAATAAGGAGACCATTTAAAGTCTCTTACATGTTAATGTGGAGCAGTTCAGCAGTGCGTGGTACAGGAGCACGTGGGACCAGGGTCTCTGGCTGACCTGGCCCTGCTCTCTCTGGGCGGGCAGCTGTGTCTGACTGGAATCAGGGCAGAGTCTGTAGATCCATAGGTTGTTACCCTCGGCTCTGTCAATGGTGATGATGACGATATCGTTTCTTTAGAAGTAGATTCAAGTCAGTTAAGACGCCAGCTATGTGGTGGCAGCCAAGCAGCCATTGAAAGGATGATCCATTTTGGAAGAGAATTGCAAGCAATGAGCGAGCAGCTAAGAAGAGAATGTGGCAAAAACACAGTGAATAAGAAAATGCTCAAGGTATGTTCAATCTTCTTATAAAGGTGACTGTGTTGCCCAGCAGGAACTTCCTGCACCGTGTTGTGCTGGAATACTGTTCTGCTTTAACTTCTGCCATTTTTCGTGTGTCTCAGAGCAAGTGTTCTGGTCAGCTGTGATGCAGCACTGTCTTCTTTTTTGTCTGTGTAGCACATGCACAGGGAAGGTAATTTTGTGCTGTTACACAGTTAAACACAGAAGTAAATTTAGCACTTTGCTTTATCTCATTTATGACCATGTAACTTGGCCTCTTGAATCAAAGTTGGTTTTGTCTGCAATGATAAATTAACTGCGGGGGGGGATTGGTAGAGATGCCTAAAATGTGCTGTCATTAGTACTCTGCATGTTAATTAGTTTGCTTTGATTTGAGACTGCTCTGGAAAAGACTTCTCATGCCAAAGACTGCATGCAGTTTTCAGTCCATTTTCTCTTACCCCATCACTTAGTAAAATAATGTTACCTTTTGCCTTGCTCTTGGGAAAAAACACTAAACGGAGCAAATCCTGTCACAGTTTATCTTTTTGTATTGATGGACACTGACAGTCACCTTTGCGATTCTGAATCAAAATAGCTGAACAAAGTAGCCTGCCTTTTCACTAGTAACTTGTAGTTGTAGA